TTTGCCTTATTTTAAAAATCAGGACAGGAAAATCAATTGAGCCTAAAGTCGGATCTTCAAGAAAATCCTTGTTCCCCGAGTAGACAGAGTTTCATATATGATATCGATACTAAAAAAGAAATCAAACGAATTAGTGGAAGAAAAATTTATCAAATTCGAGTTATAATATTTAAATCTAAAAATATTTGCGATGACAAGCAGAAAGATATAGAAAGATATCCATATTAATCAAACATAATGAATAATCATTGGTTCCAGGTTGTACCTGAAGGTTTTCGAATTGCTCTGAAATATTTGGCAACATATTATGGAAATCCTCCAATGTATATCACTGAGAATGGTGTTTCTGATTTTGGAACACTCAACGATGATGATAGAATCTATTACTATCGAGAATATTTAAAACAGATGCTTCTCGCCATTTATGATGATGACGTGAATGTACAAGGATATTTCTTGTGGTCCCTTATAGACAATTTTGAATGGGCCAAAGGATATCGGTAAATAATTATACATTAATTTTATATTAATTATGTCTTATTTGAATTTTTTTATTTAAAATATCTTATTTTATTATAAAATATCTTAGAATTATTAGAATTAACTTTATACTATAAAATTAAATTAATAATTATTTAGTTAGAATTTTATTAAAATTTTGATAGTTCTTTTTCTTATGAAGATATTAAAAAGATTAGTTAGTCATATGTTTTTTTAATTTTAAGATACTTTATTTAAAAATAAAATTAATATGTAAATATATTTTCTATTAGAAAATATTAAATTAATTAGAAGAATTAATAATAATATTTTAATTTTTAGGGAACGTTTTGGTATTGTATATGTCGACTATAATGATTCTAACAGGACACGTATATTGAAAAAGTCTGCTTCCTGGTGGGAAAAAGTTATAGCTGCTGGAAAAATTGACACGTCCTAAATCATCTTGATTTATCTACAAAAAAATAATAAAATTAACTTTACTGTTAATAACACAACTTATACAATTTTTTTTATTGTGAATCATGAATTTTAATTGATACTTAAATAAAATTAAAATCTTAATAAAATCATTAATATGTCAATATTTAATATATTTTTCTTGTGTAAAATTAATATCTATTTATGATTATTTAATTTTTTCAATTTTCTTTTTTTCTTCCAGCACTTATATAAAATTATAATGTATAAAAATTCTAAGATTTTTGAGCGGATTATATATGACTCCATTTAAAAATAGTGATTATCTGAAAAAAAAAAATGTAAAGTTTCTGAAAGAAAATAATCCTTCAAATAATATTTATACTTTATTCTTATTTTATCATTGCACATT